AAGGCTGAATGCGATTTATTATAAACAAAAATTATTTATGAACGAACAATGTAAATGATTGAATTATACATAGGTACCTTGAGCATCTCTTGAGATGGGAATGAGCGTTTCTTTTGTCTTCATCATAATAGAAATCAGATTTCGTGAATGAGGAAAATAAGTGCAGGACCTAAAAACTGACCTGTCGGTTGACCGATCAATTCATTATGGAGAAGAAATTTTGAATATTGCATCATATCAGAGCATAGATATCTTAATGCAATTCCAAACGTGACCTGGTTCTCTTTTTCATTGATATTAGTTGAATGCCTGGCATTTTTTTTAATGGATGCGGTAAATTATTAATTGACTTTTTTCTGTCACGGCACCCTTTTAAGACATAACAAGATTGCGCATCACCCCGATCCCAGAGTAGTTTGAAGAAGATTGCATCACTCTGAAACTCGTTAAGTGCTATGTACACATTTATTTCTACATTTTTCGAGCGAGCAAAGAAAAATGACATTTCGAATATCATTATGATAACAATTTTACTTTATAATGAGCACACTAGATAACATTTAGAATTAAGTGTGCAGGCACCTCGCTGCCGAAAACATAATACATAAATCAAAATGCCGAAAACATAATACATGAATAAATATGTTTGTTTAATTCGATGCACAAATGTTAAGAGATTCAGGTATCTCATTGCCAAGAAATATAATTTTATAAGTTGCGAGCGAGTGATGCAAACGACCGTGAAGAAGAAAATGAAATATAAAAGATATAACAGATTTAATATATATTCGGGCACATCGTTGTCAAGTAGAAGGCTATTCGTGCACATCGTTGCTCAAATATGGAGATATGCTCGCACTTACCTGCATGCCCAAAATCATCATATTTCTTTTAATTTGCCATTTTCTCCTGAAATAACGTATTATAACGGTTTCTAATATTTGGTTTTTACGAAAGACGTTACTCCAAAGTAATGATTGATTAAATAAATTAAAATTACTTGAAATCTCTCGCGGCAACCCTTACAGATGTTTTGCGGCATCCCGTGTTTCCTGGCGACCCGGTTAAGAACGCTGGACCAGATAGAGACAACTAAAATTGTGATCTTTGACATGCCATAGGTTTTGCATTTGGATTCATTATGAGAGCTTTGTTCTATTTAAACGATTTTGGAGGGTCAATGTTTATTAATGAGCAATGGCATAAAAACCTGCCATTTGCTGTTTGGCGATTAGCTATTAACAAAATGTTTTTTGTATTACTATTAGGTCATGCATAATCATTTTTTTCTTCTCAATCCCACAACTCCCTACGAAATGTCCGCAAGAATCTGAAAACGGCGGTAGTATGAATTGTGCAACTCTTGAGTAATTGGGAAAAGAACGCTGAAATATTTTTGTGAATTTCTATTCAAATAGAAGTTTGTCAAGTAAATCTCAGTGAAGCAGAAAATCTTATAGGAAAAAATCGACATCGAAGTGATACCATATGATACCAAGAAAATGAATGAAAGATCCATGTTCTGTGAAGATCTTTGAAATGATTGTGATGTGTTCGTAGTTGCAGACAGAGGTTCTCTGCATTGTCACAACTTAACCTAAACTACAATGTCAGATCTAGGCTAAAAGCTATTTCTATATTTCTTCATTAATTTTGTTGAAGTAAAATTATGTTATTCTGCAGTTGAAAACATCATTATTAACAATTTATGTTGAAAAATTGGGTCATAAATGTCAATAGAATTACTTAATACTGCCCAATTATTTTCTTTCATTTATTATTTTGTGAAAGATATATGATGATGGGGGTGATTATGATGATGTAGGCACAATATGTTGTACTATGTAATGATAATGCTGTATGACTGAGGTGTGATAGTGCTGATACAAACGTATGCAGGATTGAGTGATTAGTGTTTGACCTTGTGATTTTTTTATAGATTTGGCAGCAGCCAGGTAGATTTAATCAACTTTACTAATGATCGAGAGAAGGCGGAAATGTAATAAGAGAGCGGGCAGGGCAAAAATAGAAATGCAATACAAAAGTGGTCACAATATCGAAGGGGGGGGGGGCAAAGTTAAATAAAGAATGAGTCAGTTCCAAAAAGACATCATGGGTAATCGTTGTGGTGTATGTGGTGTGTGTGTGTGTGTGTGTGTGAGAGAGAGAGAGAGAGAGAGAGTGGGGGAGGGGGTTATAGGGCCTATGGGCATTTCAGTAGTGAAAGGGGGCCTGGATTAAAATTTTTACTGTCTAGGGGGGAGGGGGCAAATGTTTTTAAAAAAATCAATGGTGTCCATCGCAAATATAAAGCGAAAGAGGCACAATTTACATTTCATGGGCGAGGGGGGGGGGCACAATGTGAACAAATCAACGAAGAAAAGGCGAGAATGAACAATCACTGCAAATATGAAAATATGTTTAGTGAGTGGGATAAATGATTTGGGAAATTTGACTGATAATCATTGATTAAAAGAGGCCCAAAATAGATGAAGGTAGACGGTGAAATGGGGTCATTATTTCTGGCCTCACACCGTGGCGACACTGAAATTTCTTTATGTAATTTCCACCCATGTTCCCCTTCTAAAGTTTATTTCCCCCCCCCCCAGGCGCTGACTGTTTTCCTACACTTTTAGTTTGGGCCGGCCTCAGGATTTTGTCGATAGTAATGCATGCATATTTTGTTTTCATCGGTAGTAAGTAGAGCTCATGAATAATAAAATGTGTAATTCCAATAAACGCACTGCATGCAGGCCAAAATCCTCATTTTGTTCTTGCTCTAAAAAGTTGTCGTATTCATAGGAAAAGTGGGAGCAGTAAGCACTTTCCACCCGCCGCATAATACCTAGGTAAAGTAGGTTCTTGAGAAATGCATGGAAATATCGTTGAGTAACAAAATGTACAGGGCATCTCCCGGCCCAATTTCTAGTTGGACTATGCTGTTGGAAAAATGGCCGCCATGTGTAACTACTGTTGAACGATTTTGGGAATTAATATGTAACGGAACATCATGTAACCATGCATGAGGTGTCATATGAAATGGAAAAAAAAAAACGTCTTCAAGATGATATCACATTAAAGAAGTTCGAGGATATTTTGCATTTCAATTTTGAGCCATAAGTGCGAATTTTTAGTACAATTTTTTTCAAAAAAATGAATTATCCCCGAAATACATATTTCTCCATATTGAAAGAACAATGATGATTACTGACTTGAGTTTTTCTGATAAACCGTCCATATTAGAATGGTTCAAGGTTATACGCTCTAAATTTGACACTTTGATATGAGCTAAAACGGCAATTTTGGTTGCTAAGGGATGTCTTCTCCTTAGCAACGTTAATAACGAGAGATGAACAATAGAATACATCCCTAGTAAAGCAGGGAACCACAGCAGAAAAATACTTCAAAATAATTGCTACATGTGCCAATATCATTTGACTCTTAAAGGATTTCTACGCCAACTAGAAATGATAGAATAGATGAAATATGTCATTGGATTTTTTTTTTATGAACCACTGTGCATTCCCAGTTACGACGGGTTAAAGGAAAACGACCTTGTAACTTTCTTAGAATTCGAATGGTAAAAGTGAAACTACTTCCTTTCCTATGATACACAACAAACTGTTTAAGAAAGTTAAAGTACATGTACGTGTCTTAAAAATAAAGATTCGTAGAAAGAACACAAGAAGAAGTAAACTATACAGCTTGATCAACAAGAAAAAAAGCTCGAGTTTGGATATCGATTTTCCGTTAGCTTTCAAGCAAATGTAACGAAAAGAATTCTCATATGTCAAAGAGCGCTATATGTTGGCCTTTAAGCAAAATTAACAACAAAAAAACTTACCCTTTTGTCAAAGAACGTTAAAGTTATATAAATTCTGATGAATATCTTTCACGAGAAGTAAGCTATATCACACAAAAATAGGACGCATTATAAAGTATATGTATACCTAAATATCTGGAATATCAAAAAGAGAATAAAAAATATACAATACTAATGGGGGCAGGGATTATAAGTTATTGATGTGCATTCTTTAAAATCCTTTCAACGGTAAAGGGCAGGCAGGACACGTCAGGCATTTGTGTTGCTTTCAATTTCTAGGTACATACAAGCAATAGGGGCGGAAGCGAACGAAATGGTTTTTACTAAGTGGTCATTGCTTTTTTAAGATGAGAGCGTTGGTGAATACTTATAATCGAAGATGAAAGAATTGTTGCTTCATCCGGAAGAAGTATGATGGCCTTGTCTTTATCATCCAACTCATTTACCCCACTAAAAATCGATACAAAAATGGAGATATTAACTTCGAAAAACGCTTTTTAAAACATGGTAGACTAATAGCATTTTCCTGAAATATATATATATATAGATTTTAACAACAAGAGACTTTCATATATAAATCAAAGAAATGGTTCGGGAAGGCCAATGATATAATGATAGGGTATGGATTTTCGCTTCAAATACTCTTCATATCATGAAAGAAGAAAAAACTTCTTGTTTATAAATTGTGTTCACTTTGTGGAAAGAATATCGGCCAGCGAGATATTAACTTCGAAAAACGCCTTTTAAAACATGGTAGACCAATAGCATTTTCCTGAAATATATCTAAATTTAACGACAAGACTTTCATATACGAATAAAAGAAATTGTTCGGGAAGGCCAATGATATAATGATAGGGTATGTATTTTCGCTTCCAATACTCTTCATATCATGAAATAAAAATAAAAAACTCTTTTGTTTATAAATTTGTTCACTTTGTGGAAAGAATATCGACCAGCTTGAAAAGAATACGTTTTAAACTGTGTACAGTCTAATTTTCGTCGTTGGTGTTCTTTTTTATATAAAGATACAAATTCCCACGTTACTTACGCTTGTGCTTTGGAAAAAATAACGCATATTTCTTGAACCAAATTCATTGTATAACCAGCATTGTATAACTCAAAAAGAAAGGATTGATTAAAAACTTATAATTTTTGTTTACAAGGGTCAGATTTAAACATGACTGGAAAGCGTACGAATCTCAGTTAATTTATGCTATTCAGTCAAAACATTAATTTGTTCATGAAATTGGTTAATATTTATAATATTCCGTTTTTAAATAGCGCCCAATACACTGATACAACGGTGTTTCTAAGCGCTTTACAGGTATATTATTACCTCGGTCATCGAATTCAGGCTTATCCGCACACAATGTATGCACATTCTTCACTCCCTGGGGAGCATTCCAGCCAGTCGCCATTTTACAACTGCACACTTGCTGATCCAACCACATGAACTTTCACATTTTTCCTGGTACCCATTTTACACCTGGGTGGAGAGTGGCAAACGTAGATTAACGTCTTGTCAAAGTCATTAGTGCTGCGGCGGGACTCGAAGCCCGTACATTGTGATCTGCAGTCGGGTGACTTATCCACTAGACCACAACACCTCTATGATGAGCGATTATAATCACATGTGTGAATGATTACGTTCATTTTGGTTTCATGTTCAGTTGCAGTGTGCAAAATAAAATACTCGTGAATAGACATACAGATTACACATTATAAGCATTTCCATTTTATATCAATCACCTTTTTCCCTTTCCCTGTCACCCAGCTTGTCTTATCTTTATCTTTCTACAGTTCTATCACGTCATTGCCTCTTTCCACTATCTTGCTCAAACTTTCTTTATTTTGACACACCTAATTTTTAAAGCTGTAGTATTTTCCTGTGTATTAAATGTAGCTAGTAGTATATTTTATGAAAAATGTAAATATTTGTTTGTGTTTCATGCAGGGCCCATTGGAAGACTTGTACCATTTATTTTTTGTTTTAAATTATATGTTCATTTTGTATATAATATATATATATATATATATGAAGGAATGTTTCAGCTCCTTGATATATATAAATTACTGTTATATATTGTTACTGAACAGGCTACTCAGATTAAAGATTTGAAATTGTAAAAAAACTAATTAATACATGAATAAAATTGCCAGGTAAGGAGACAGCCGTTTCTGAAGGACAATTGATGTCCTCCGTTTACTGCTCATGTTCAGCATCAATGACACGCGTGAACTTTTACCAACGTTACACGGCACAGATTTGGCCGATTTATATCAATTTGTTTTCCAAAAAGATTTTTTTTTAAAAGACTATACGTATAAAGAATAAAGTAAACCATATTTTTGGCATCTACAAAAACAACCGTTATCACCGATAAGGGTCACATCTAGTCAACGCATTTCTTAATAGGACAGGGCCTAATGCGGATATTTTACATATTTAATGTATATTAAACTTTCGAATCCTAGATAATAATATTCATACTGCCTACTTCGATTTCTCCTTATCTTTGTTATAATAAGTGACTCTGGACAACTCCCCTGACGATATCCATCACATCAGATTGTCCATCAACCAATCGGTTGCTGTTGCTTCACCCGGCAACCCAAACAACTATCCCAACAACCTTCGCATCGCGTGGTTCTTTGAGGTTGCCCATGGCAACAGCGCCATTTTGAATTTCACTGCTTTTGATCTCGAAGCTGGGTACGACTATTTGAAGGTCGGTTTCGGGAATGATTCGGGATTGGAGGAGACTCGGCTGATAACACTGAGTGGTAACACCGTACCGACAGAGATTAACACCAGACACCGGACTATCTGGATGGAGTTTAGTTCAGATTCTGCAATCGGCGGTGAAGGATTTTTGCTTGAAGTCCGCGGGGAAGGTGAGTAACAAAAGAGATCGAAAGCACGGATTTCCAAAAGCAAGGTCTCAAGGGCTTTGAAGAAACCATCATGGCCTTCCATGCCCTTTTGTATTACTTCTAAAAAGAACTCTATTTTCGTGTTCTCACATTTCATTTAGACTCACCAGGCTATCAATATAGCTGTAGGTTGATTTATTGAAAGTCTTGGCCAGCGTGTTGCAAGTGAGCCACTTATTGAAAAAAATGCAGTTATTAAATTCGATATTACCCTCAATATCTCCCCACCGCGGTTTGAATCGGAGAAAGATAAGGGAACGATTACCATTCAATCCTTTCAGGCCCTCGCAAGGGAATTTAAACGAAAAACCACACACACAAAAAGCTCCATACAACCACACACGCACACGCACTCACACATATGTACCGACACACCCAGTCATAATATTGAACCCCAAAAAGACATCCACCTTTTAGGCGGTCTTTGCGATTACTCTCATAGTCTTTACAAAATCTTTTATTAATTTATTGTATAGTGTCCTGAGCATCTTTTGATACCAAAGGTGGCATTTAAGGCGCCCCTACTTCAAAACCTCTAAAACAAAACTTCTTATGGTTAGGTTGTAGCGCAGGTGTAGAATACTTAAGTCATTAGGCCTAACCATAAGAAATTGGTCGCTAAATTTACATGGAACTAATAGGGAAATATTGCATTAATCCATTTTCTACTCGACTACGGGTCGTAATTACATATTTACCTCGATTTTTAATAGACGTGCAAATTTTATCTCGTATTTGCCGACCTTAAACTAGGTCGTCTCCATGTCACCAAGCAAATAGTCTCCCTTTTCTTCCCTCAGCTTGAAAAGTCGATTCTATAATGTTATTTCCTATATATTACCCATTACAACGTCGTAATGCATGTAGCACAACTCACAATGTTTGATAGCCCTAAATAGAGCTCGGATCAGAACAAACATATAAAGTAAAATGATACTTCCAGAGACAGTTTATGTTCACCGTGTAACGTAATGGACACAGAAGCTAAAACCGGGATGCTAATATCAAAACTACTTTGGAAGCGCATATAGACGATATACCATACTTTGATTTGCGCTAAACAAGAACGGCATATTGTTATAATTATTAGAATGATCAGATCTACAGAATGACACGCTGATAAGTATCAATGTACATTGAAATTGATCTGCAACTTTCATAGGATATTTACTCTTCTTTTCTGATTCGCGTATCATAATGACTTTCAATCTATACATATTGCTAAATATGTACGAGTACACTTTATTCCATTACCTAGTAAAATATGTGAAACAGAAACAACAGGTAGAAAATCGAGGTTATTTAAGATTTAAATTTAAACACACGTCAATGGCGTAAGTAGAGAGGCATGAGAGGCACATGCCCACCAGAATCAATCAAAGGTAAATAGAAAGAGAGAGAAAGAAGAAAAAAGAAAGAGGGTAGAGAGGGAGGGAGAGAGGGAGAGAGTGAGAAAGAGCGAGGGGTGGAAAGGAAAGTTGAAATAAGATGTTAGAACCCCTCACTCTCTCTCTCTCTCTCTCTCTCTCTCTCGCTATTCGGTAGCCATAACAATACGCCCATTCTGTTTCCTAACCCAAAAGGCTGGACCCACGCTACTCCAATGTAGGGAGCAATTTGTTCTCTGTCACTAATATGATATAAAAATATGGTTATTTTTGTTCGAATCTGACACTTTTGTTTTAAAAGGATTTTATTCAATATTATTAATATGATTTTTTTAAACACAGGGAAGCCTCATTAGCATAAGTGTTGTTGTTCTTTAGGGCCCTTCAATCACTACACCCCAGCAATCGGCAGATACTCATTTACACTTTGATGGAGAGTGGCAATTGTTTTGTTGAATGTCTTGCCAAAGGACGTCAGTGCCGGACTGGGATACGAACCTTCAATCTTCTGATTGAAAACCAATTGAAGGAAGCGCTAAACCAAGACACCTCCACAAATTCAATCGGAAATGCTTGAGATTTCAGTTCGCTTTCCTCTACACGAATTCAAATATATTTGAATTACTTACAAGCTTACTTACAAGCATTTATGCTTTCTTAGCTGTGACGTAAGATAACCACCACCATTCATTCATTATCAAGATATTTATGATTGGAAATGGAATATATATATGTTCATATTATATTCCATTCTCATCCGGAAACAGAGGACACCATCGATATTTCTCCGCTAGATTTCCAGTCAAAGGATGACCAGACCTTCCTGATATCCTCGCAGAATCATCCACAGAACTACTCTCACAACTCCTTGGTTTCTTACATCATAGAGGCACCCGAGGGGTCCTACATTTACGTCAAAGTGTCGTTTTTTGACACAGAAAACGGGTAAGGTATCATGGCTAGAGTGATTTAGGCGCTTGTATTTAAAAACAAAGGTCTTTAAAAGACGAGATTCCAGCTTGGATTTAAAGAAATTTATGATTCTCAAATTAAATGGTAAATTATTCTGAAGATAACGTGATGTATGTACGGATTGAATGTTTAACAGTTTTTTTTCGTGCATACAACAATGTTAAAAGTATTTGTAATTTGCCTTAAATTTGCAATGTTTTTCATGGATGAAATATATATTTTTCTCACGGGACTTGTTCACTTGTCGAATTTACATGTGCACTCATACATTTTACAAGTAAGTGCCTTTTAATATTGTATGGGTATTTGGGAGGAGAATGTTGTAATTTACCCATCATTTCAAGTAAGAAATCAGATATAAATTGCTAGATAGTGCCAAATTTCAATACAATACCATCTCATAAAATATATATTTTTTAGATAGTGACCCCTTTTTTTTTACAGTGAACATTACTGTCAATTTTCTTGCAGGAAAGATATTCTGTTCATCGGGGAAGGGACAGAGGTTGGAAAAAAAGATACACTTCGTGACGCTTTCACCGGAGACTTGAACAGAAAATATTCAACCGTGGAATCTAATACTCGTTGGCTCTGGGTCATGTTCGTGAGCGATTACAAGAACGCCGGTGCTGGCTACCAGATGTCGATCACATACGTAACACGTAAATATATCTTTCCTTGATCCGAGACAATCTTGATACCTCAGTCACACTGCCAAACCTACTCCTAACCGATTTTTAACCGACTGACTTGTTTGCCATCGGGGGTAATGTAATTGTTTGATCGGTATGTTTTTGGTCTGGTGTCGATCTCGTTGGTGTGACTAAGGTATTATCATGTTTAAACCAAACTTACCAAAGTCAAAGTCAGAACGACGAGACCGACTCCAGACCGAGGACAGACCAAACAGAAGCGATACATGTGTGACTCCAGACCGACAGGAGACTGAACAGGGCCTCGTTTCATAAAACTTGTTATCAATATCACTGTTATATTTAAAGCTACTGAAATCGTGGCACTCGATTAGCTGGGAGCAAATATGTCATAGGTAACTAGCACTTGTTATCAATAACAGGTTATATGAAACAGGGACCTGAAGTCGGCTGTAGTCGGCTCGGTGGTGTGGCTGAAAACACTTACTATTTACTGAATAAAAAGGAAATTTAGAAGATCCCCTACACCCCACTCTTTTCATTATGATATAACCAAAGAGATACCCTCCTTGACATAACAATAGGCCATTTTCGTAAGGTAACCAAACTTATGCACATGCCTTTGTCAATTAGCGCCTCTATACAAATTATTTCACCCCCCTGTTACGAATAAATATATCTAAATAGTCAGAATTCGAAATGCATACATTAGTTGTTGCTGGGCAGGACTAACTTTATGGCTTGTCCTACCTAGCAACACGTAATATATGAAACTTGCATTCTGATCATTGAAATACAATTATTCGTATTAAGTGAATGAAATCATTCTTATCGAGCCGCTTCAGAAAGGCATATGCGTAAATTTAATTACATTACGAAAATAATTTTTTGATCCGATGCCACATTTCAGAGCACTTCAACTAATATATTTTACTCAACAGCCAATATTCGCCTTTCCCTTGACGAAACCATCACCATCCTCTCGACCACCAACCTGGAGTACTCATCTCGTCAGTTCAGCGTTGCAAGATGGCGAATTGAAGCCCCTGATGACACCATCATGAATATACGATTCCTGGAGTTCGATCTCGCCCCCAGCCTCGAGTTCTTCGTGGTACTTGATGGCCTTCGTCCTCACAATCGTGAGCGGTATCGCTTCGAGTATGACGGGAACCAACTACCTCCCGACATCGTTTCACTCAGTAACCGAATGAATATTGTCTTCGCGACCTACTCGGACACGTTAAATGGTACTTTCGTTATAGATGTAACGGCGAGAGCGGCTCAACATGGTAAGTAGTGTCAGTCAAATTAAAAGTACGCTAAACATTTGTAGATATGATCGCAAAGACTTACGCCTCAGGCGATTTCAGTAGTCTTGTGTGTCACTTTGAATGTGCGAACATTAAGCATAATCCGAACATAGGCTGTTGAAATTACCCTGAAAAAGTAGATTTCTTAAAGTCTTTGCAATAGAATGCAATTCACATGTTGATATTCTCAATTTATTTATTTGTTTATTTATTCATTTATTTATTCATTTATTTATTTAGACTTGATTCTTCGTATACATGCAATTGATCGTACGATTTTCTTAACTACTTCATCAACATGACATGCTCAATTAAGATTGTGTTCAAGAGTTACACCACGGTGTTTAAGTTTAGTGACAGTTTCTAGTAATTGACCATTCATAAATATCATAAAGTAAAGTATTTCTTTTCCGACGGGACGAAAACAACATTATTTTTGTTTTGTCTGAGTTGACATTCATGTCATTATCTAAAAACCGTATACTGAGCTTATTTATATCTGATGGTAAAATTGACTGCACTTACTTGACATCGAAACCTGAATAATAAAAATGTATCGTCCGCATATAAAGTGAAAGTTTTGTATGTGGATTAGAATTTTGATTCGAGATATGATTCATAAACAAACATAAAAAAGAAGTGGTCCTAGTATGGATCCTTGTGGGACTCCTGTTCGAACGGTGAGAGTGTTACTTGTTTTTCCTTTATAAAATACACTTTGCTTTTGCCTGTTACGTAAGATTCAAACCATTTCAGCTCAACTTCATCCATTCCAAAGTACGACATTTTAAGGAAGCAAAGCAAGTCAATGACATAGACACTATGGACCTACGCCGATGTTCTAGTGGTCCTACGTAGCAATGCTGCCTGGACTAATCTTTCCTTTTTTTATTTTTTTTAAATAATGATACAAAGTGCAATACGATACACATTTTTTTTTTTTATCGTAGAACACAGAGCTAAGTGTGTACGTGCACTCCCTTTGTTGCGTACAGTTGCCATTCATGAACATGTAAAAAAAAACAAAAAAAACAAACAAACAATATCGCGGCGGCGTCTTTTTTATGCGGCGGTTGACCGCAGCACATTTGAACAAGCTCTTACTGGAATATTAATATAATGTTACAGGTGATTTGTCCCCGACCCGCGTCCCTGCCGGAGGAACGGTTTCTCTAACATCACCCAACTACCCTGGTCCGTACCAGAACTACTTTCAGCGAATCTGGGTGGTGGCTGCTCCGAAAGGATACATCATTCGCTTCAGGTTTCTAGACATTCGACTGCCGAATGATAACGATTTTGTTAAACTCGGTGATGGATTCTACTACTTAACAGGTAAACAAGCGATATATTGGTATCTAGTGAATAGACTGCTTTACTAGCATATTCAAATTCATGGATGTTTCTTTCCCGGGGACCTATAGTGACGAGTTATTCCTTTGACATGTTGCTATTAAATGAATGAACAAACTACAATACATGGAATCCAGTCTGCATTCATAACTTGTTCCTTTGTCAGGCAAGCACCGGGCTACTTTTCATGGGCTACCTTTCATGTTTTCAAGAACAACTTTAGTTTAAAAAGAAAGCATAACATTTGAATATGTCTGTAAACCGTTCTAATTATTCCCAGTAGCGAACCCCAAAGCCCCCGACTCCCACAACCCACCTCAAATTTGTCTACCAGAATGGCACCAGCAACGTAAACATTCCTTTCCATAATCGGTGGCATCTCACGAAATGAATGATTAGGGGGCGAAATTCGTCCTAGATCGCAGTGAAGATGTCTTGCATTATGTTCGAATTCTTGCAAGGTGTCGGCCCTATTTTTGTGTGCATTAAAATAATTGCCTAGTATATGGGCCTAATTGGCGTAGGTGATGACGCAATCGAAAGTACACTTCGTGTGCACGGGCCTATAGGCCTACCTGTTGCACTCGAAGCGTCATTTCGATTGCGTCATTGACTACAATAATGAAGAGTAAGAAGACAAATACCGCAGTGCACGTATCATTAAATGTCCTCTTTAGGTGGGCTTTACTTTTAATCTGATATAGATCTAAGCATGCATATTCAAAACGACAAGACCGACCCCAGTCCAAAAACAGAACGACCAAATAATAACATTCCTCCTATGTCAAAACCTAAGTCGGTCTGGAGTCGGTCTGGAGTCGGTCTGTAGTCGGTTTGGCGGTGTGATGGCATGATGGTATGAGGTATGATGCCCCTCTTACATGGTGCGTCAATGACCGCGCATGTCGCTGACGCAAGTCCTACGTCAGCAAAAGACGCCTCGCGCGCAAGGGGCTTTAGTCTAACTATGATGATGAATATCTTTACACAGAGGGAACAGAGATTCTCATTGTAAGTGGACAATCCGATATGACACACGAAGATGTTTACTACTACACTGAGACAAACGCCATTTGGCTCCACTTCAAGTCCGACCCAACAGACGGTAACGGTGGATTCAAACTAGAAATCTCCGCCATAACACGTAAGTTGGCAATGCGCCAGAAACAATGCTTGTATGTTCCATCGCCAAATTGTATAACACTTATCATTAAAACCAGATCGAATACTATTACATAAGACCTCATATTGAATGCTGTATTGTTAAAGGAGCTACACAAAGAAAATTCACTAACAACTCATAATTAGAACAAATTACATATGGATGGAAAATTTTCTCCTGAAAAACACGAACAATTTGCTAAGAAATCATATAAATATCATGGAAAGGCGTAAAAATGCAATTTTTCAAGACGCTCCTTAGACCCCCGAACGCCCTGAACGTAAGTCAAACACACAAGCGTAGCGAGCTCTAAATAGTGACGTCACACACTGGACGAACAGCTCAGTGCCGTGTATCAGTATGCAGCTAGCCAGCCGTGTCCCGTATGTGACGTCACAAATATTGACGCTCTACAAAGGATCGCTGAAGGCAGAAAATCTGGATCTCAAAACTAACATTTTTGAGAGTTGATTACTGCGGGCCCCAAACATATTTTGAAGAGAAGAGTTGTTGTATTTGATCGGCAAGGCTTCCCCTTCGCAATGATATGAGTTTTGCATCAATTCAAAACACTTTTGATTTTTGTGTGGGTACTGTTGATATTACGTTGAAATAAAAATTAAAAAAATTTATGAGGGATCACTTTTTTTACATTTCGTTGAAATAGCGTACCCGTTTAAAACTAAAAAAAGATTTAAAATCCCGTTTAACATACAATATATTATCATTCATGTTTATTCTATGATTATTCCAGACGCCTTGACAAGCAATATAATCTTAATTTGAATCAGTTAGCTCTGAAAAAGCACATATTAACACATTTTCCCAAATTGGGTAAAACATTGACTTGACTACTAATTTGTAATATTCAAATTGTATAATGGGGGCAAGAACGAGTGAAACATATCGACAGGAAGATCATCATCCAATGAATCAATAATAAATCTTCTTATCCATGATATCTTGGTTGATAAAGTGTATTCTTGAAAATTTCAGTCACTTAACTCCACCTCGATGAGTAATTGGTTCATTTGTTTCCTTCTTGTTTTATCAATTTGTTTTAATGAGTAAGGTCGTAAAAACATCGCGTTTATGAGGAGTTTATGTTTGTCATATTATTCCATTTATTAAATGTATTTCCTGAATTTTTCTATGTATTTCGTGCTAAATAATAAGTTATATCTATACAGGTCCTACTTCCAAAGTATCATTTTGTTCTGAAGTAATTACCGCTAAATGAAACATTCATCAATAAAACACATCATAATACACACAACATAAAAAGAAACAAAACATGAGATCCGGCTCCACACAGAGAATCAGAGGTGGCTGTTTACCAGAATAAACAATTATCGGGTCAATATACATGTATGTTGGATTAAGTTGACAGTTGTTTAGTTACTATCTAAAAAAAAAACATAATTTCGATTAATTGAAGCAGATACAATTATTTATAGCTATTTATGTCACGGAACCATATATTGTGTTCATGAAAAATCAGGCCCGATGGCTCATTGGTAGACCAGTGGTCTCAAAATCGAGAGATCCAGGGTTAGAGACCAAGTCAATGAGCTATAGTCTCCTTTTTACGGCGATACTCTTTATTACTAGGTCCCTCGGAGATGACTTAAAGCAGTCGATCTCACGCTTACTCACTTAAAATCATACACGTGCTTTCCTATCTGCAGGTAAAAGAAACACCCATCAAACAAAGCGTCTATATAGTAATCAGATGATCGAATGAAAGTGATGATGAAATCTGCATTTAATAATACTTTCAATTCGCCTTACTCAGTGCCAATCGTTCTCGATGTCAACGATGTCCATACGCTGGAATCACCAACCTACCCGATGCCTTACGAAAACAACGTCTTCATTGAATGGAACGTCGAAGTGCCACCTGGTTTCGGTGTCCTCCTCCGATTCATCAGTTTCGGTTTGACGGATCCAGAAGATGTCCTGTCAGTTGGAAAGGGCAGTGATTCAAACGACTCAAGTAGTGTCGCGGGCAGATTCACAGGCCTTCTTACTCCATCAGATTTCGTGGTTTGGTCAGACAGAGTCTGGATAAGGTTCACTTCTGATTCATCAGGACTAGGAGACGGATTTGTAATCGAACTAAGACCCATCGAGGGAGAAGGTTTGTTCATCTTGCTCAGAGCTGTTTTGTAACTATTGACAACAAAGGGCCTTAATTATCTTGATAAGGAGAAAATATCATCACACAGAATTACAATAATGTCTAAACATCGTTAAAACTATTTCAACTTTAATGCACAAGTTGCCTCTTTTTAAGGAAGCAAATAACATAAGAACTTGAAGCTTGCAAAGTTCAGTTTCTGAGCGAAATCCACGTTTTTTGTTGTTTTGGTATTTGCATATTGGTCACTAATATTTTAAGGAAGATGGCAGCCATCTCCAAAAGGATGAATTACATTTTTAAACTTTGAGGCTATTCAAGAATATTTTCCACTCTTCAAGAGGGAAATTGAAACAGAAAAGACAAATAGGAAAACCAAGAAACGAGAGATCTAGAAGTAATTGAGAACAGAAAAAAGTCAGAAAGTGTTGCATTCAACCTCCGGACAAGGGAATAGGACAACAATGGATCATCATGACTTTCATTTTTGTGTCTGGTTACCATTTTCACAGGTCATTGCCTCATCCCTCTTGGAATGGAGAGTGGTTGGATACCCGATAACAGTCTCTCTGCGACCAGTCAAAGAGATAAGACCCATAGCTCAAGTCAAGCTAGGCTTCATGGAACATCGTCATGGATACCTGACCCGGATGTAGATGACTCTACCATTCAGGTATTCCCTACATGAACCCTGTTTTAACTCTTTATATATGCCACACCTAATACCCCATCTACCACTGTGCAACATTGTATATATTATGGGATATATATACCACGGGCTTCAAGATGTTTTAGCTGTTTCCAGGAGGAGATTAATCTATACTGTTGTTAAACGGGTTGTAATGGAGCTAATCAAAACTAGAAAGGGATAATTTTGCAAATTTTCTGCAAAATTGCGCTTGTGGCAAACGAGTGAACGTTCAGAGAGGCGAAGAAAGTAACCGATCTGTTAATATTATTATCATCATATTATATCATCATCCTCATCGTCTTTTGCTTAGGTAAATTTTGACCAAGGTCACTACATCACTGGAATCCTCATCCAGGGCGGATTAGAAAGTGTAGGCACCTGGCTTGAATCGGTTCTCGTCACTTTTGAGGATGAGAGTGCAGAGGTAAGGTGCCAAACTATTTAAATCAAGAGACAGAGAGAGAGAGAGAGAGAGAGAAAGAGACAGAGAGAGAAAGAGAGAGAGAGACAGAGAGAGAGAAAGAGACAGAGAGAAAGATATAAAGAGGGGACAAGGGAGATGGGGAAGACAAGGAGTGTTGAAGTTGATAAAATGTCCTTCCAATGTCTCCATGCACATCCATAAGTTATCTATCATGTAACATATTTACCTGCCAAATGTATTGACCTAGCTACGTCACTTCCGAACCCAATTCCGTTACGCAGGAGGCGTCGTTATTATTGCCTGAGAAAGTAATTTGCCTATAAAATACGCCAGTAGCTCAAATCGATGTTTCTACTGCTCATTTTTAGATTTTCAAAGGGATTCGACCACTATTAGGTTCACCACTGTAGAACCGTTTTGATGAAAAGGACGAATTTTGTTTTCTTCTTTTTCTTCCTTATTATTACAGATAGTTCATGGAACGTGGAACCCAGAGTCAGTGTCTCTCATTCTCTTTGTACGCCCTCGATTGACTAGTCATATCCGTATAACACCGAGGAGCAAAAATCCTAATCTTCTGGCTCTACGTTTCGAGATCCTTGGATGTCAAAGTGGTGGGCGAAATGTTTATCCCTTCGTTGATTTCGACATTTATTTGTTTTCCGTCATTATCATACTTCTCCACCGACAGTTATCGTATCCCAATTGGAAATGTGACCGTAACCCATAAGCTGAGGCTACAAGGCATATAATATAGTATAATTTCTGACCCTTCTATCGTGCTAATGTTTGTGCGATTAGGCACACCATGAACTCAAAGAAAGTTGTTAGGCACCAGTCAGTGGCCCGGCCCCCCCACTCAGTGTTATTTAGGGTACGCATATGCGTGTTCCAACCGACCCCCCTTTTCAGCAAAAGTCCGGTGTGTAAAGTCAATACGGCTCGACCTTTTTCTTTTGTATACGAGCCTTTTTCAGCATCCCCCCCTTTTCAGCAAAAGTCCGGTGTGTAAAGTCAATACGGCTCGACCTTTTTCTTTTGTTACGAAAAGGACATTTTGGCAACACGCATGCGGTCATTTTGAAACCTGAGTGGGGGGGCCGGGGTCAGTGGCCAGTACATAATCACACTTACATGTTTTAGGTGTCGGACACAAAGAAAGGCACGTTTCGGAAACCTAGTTTTACTCATAATATCATTCTGAATCAAGTTTACTTATCTGTATTGATGCTTTCCTTTCTAAATAGTACAGTCTTACAGTAAACGTCAAAACCTACGCAGGATTATTTTATAGATATTATGTAGGTTGATCTATGTCCCAACTATTGATACTGTAATATGTCTTCTTCTCAATCGATGTATAGGTTGTCATTTTGATCTCGGGCTGGCTTCAGGCATTCTGGAATTAACAAATATTGAGATGCACAGAGCTCTAAACGAATCAGAGTCGAACTTTGAAAATCTGAGGCTTTGGCCTTACGAGCACAGACCCCTGACAGGTTGGGGAGGGCGCTCTTCAAGCTATGATGGTGATTGGGTAGAAGTTTTCATAGGGAGCCGCGCCATAGTTCGAGAGGTCATCATTCAGCAGTGTGATGATGGACGGATTCTTTCGTTCAACCTGACGGCTATGTCAGATGATGTCTCACATATATTTCAGTTTGTGAGTGCTTGATTCTTTAGATTTTGTCCAATAGGAAATCAATGCCGGGGAAAGAAATTAAAAGGTAGTGGAGGTTTCCTGTAGAAGTAGTTTTGTAGTTTTTGTTTTCCAATGAGGCTACTCTAGACTTGCTGTAAGCTTAACTTACATTCATGTCTATTCTAAAATGAATTTTTGGATTGGGGGCTGAATTGAGTCCAAAAAAAAAAAAAGGAACAATGAAGTAGAAGACGAAGAAAAAGTAGAAGAAGAAGAAGAAGAAGAAGATGAAGAAGAAGTAGAAGGAAGAGTTTTTGAAAATTCAGAGTTACCTCTTGGAAGTCTAAAATTGAGTTTAGGGTAGGCACCCAGCCCCCAATGGTTTTCTTATGTTAGCCGGATTCAGAGTACTTAAATATAATTTTAATTACCGTAAATCTCCGTGTATAAGACGCACCTCTATTTTGGGGGGCCAAGAAAGGAAGAAGAAAAAAAAAGAAAAAAAATATACCTGTGTATAAGACGCACCCCGACTTTCAATTTTTTTCGGCGGCAAAACAAAGGTTCGTCTTATACACGGAGATTTACGGTATGTATTATCTCGTATCAGGTTACGTGTGGGTGTAATGTGTGTGTATGTGTGGATGTGATTGTTAAGACAATTGTGGGTGAGAATATGTATGATGGTAGTGGTGGTTGGGTGCTTTCCTTTTCTTTTGTATCTCCGTATGGTATTTGGTTTCCGCCTCCTTCCGCCTCTTCCCAGCCTCATTTTGTTCGGTGTGTTTTTTGGAAGATGTAATGAATAGTCCTTTTAGATGTACCAATTTGTCTCAATCTACACTACATGTATAGGATATTTCTGATTGCGAGACGGCGATGTGTAAAGTAACCCTCCCAGAAGGAATCATAGCTACACGATACAGGGTACTTCCAATCGACTGGAACAACAGATTGTGTTTCCGACTGGAGCTCATAGGATGTTATATTATTGGTAAGATTCTAAATTTTTTAGATACAAAATAGACTTCAAGTTGATACCCTTCCTCTTTGCACGTAATGACGCACATCGTCTCTTGCCTCTAATATCTCGACCCCAACCTTAATCCAGTCAGACACGAAGAATCATTTCGATTGTGTCAGGTACTGACGCAGTTTTATAAATGTAATGCTTCCTGGGAGAAATTTCAATTGTTTAAACATATTTCAATTACAGATCGATCAATCGATCTTATTAACTGGGTGTAAGCCACACATATTTTTAAACAATTGACGCAGTTTTGTTTGTTTGTTTGTTTTACCTGACTGCTAAGAAAGCATGTGTATGCTTGTAAGAAAGCAACCGGGGGACCGAAGGCTTTAAGTCCTTTCCGAAGGACTTGGTAATAAGTATTTAAGCCTTACCAAAGGGCACTAGCGCATTAACTTGGTTTCGAACCCGGGACCTCCCGGTTACGAGACCACAGCTCTACCAATGAGCCATCGCGTCTCCATGTTCTATGTCAGTTCCACGTCAGTTTTACGTCAGTTCTACGTCAGTTCTACGTCAGAAAAATGATACTTCGTGTGGAAATAGCGTTACCCTCTTCGATGTTCTCGTTTCGCAGACTGTGCGTCTCGATACTGCGAGGAGAATTGCTCATCAGCGTATCTTTCCCCTGACGTAGCGACGGAAATATCCACGGACCAATCAAGAGCATTCCCCCCTCGTGCTATGTGCCATCAGGAAATCAGATTGCCAGTAGGCCACTATGTGGTGTTCATTTTCCATGGATTCCAGGTATGTCAAGATTTTCATCTTTTAAAGCGATGTTTGGTGATATCAAATGTCATAAACATTACTTTAAATATGATTTTTAAGTAAAGGGAGATGAATATCAATTTTTCCATATTCAAAGGAAATAACAAATATATTGTATTGTCTTTATTCTGACTATGTAAAATGAGATGAAGTTACATTTCAACCGTCTTCATTAACGAAAACAACACGTAATTCGTAGAAAGCATTTTTCTCCGTGTATTTGGTTAGTTTTGGGGCAAGTCCAAGCTATTTTGTCCCATACGTAACGAGCCACATCAGAGATTTAGTTAATTCGGCAATAGCCTTATCTAGAGGTTGAATCGGACCAAATACACCGTTACCCACAAAGTTGGAATAATTTTTTCTTGTCTCTTTTCATAGAGTGGCTGTGACCATATGCTTTATTAATCAATCAAGTTCAGAGAACATTAAAACTGTTTCTATCAAGAATAAATCAAAGTGTCACCACTCGACCGTACTTGGTAAATTGAAGAATCTTTGGATTCTTCCTTCTGAAAAGTTCTAGAATGCAATATACTACTCACGACACGAAAAATTACAGAAAATTGCGACGAAACATGTTATTTTCTCCCTCCAAGCCTGAGGTTGACAGGAGCGGGAAGTCGGATGGTATTCTCTCGATCAGTGACTTGGTCGGTGAGACGGACGTGTCCTTTGACCTCAGTCACGTCCCATCTGTCTTTGTCTCATCGTCTTCAAATCTATCCGTGACCTTATTGTCAGGATTGCTCACCGGAATCTCAAGCGCCGTAGTTGCTTATGGTTCTGTAGGTATGTTGGCACTGTCGGACGTTTCCTAAGGCTTTTAGTTATATATATAAACCTTCGCATTTTAGAGAACCAAGAGATTTGGATATGAACATCAAAAGCAAAAATATGAAATGATCAAACTAGGAATGTTAATCTCGTGATGTTTTGGTACCGTCAGAATATTCATTTTGGGGTAAAGACAAAGTTTAGATTAAGATAAAGAGCTATTATTGCGGACAGCTTTAGCCGTTTTGTGACACAAATTATTATGGAAAGATGTATAGATATGTTGGCTAAGGAGTTGTACGGTAACATCTTGGTAAAAGCTATACACTGGGAGAACATCCTACTTGATTACCCGAATATTTGTTGACATACATTCTATTGTGAACATTACTGTAATTTACCTTTCCAGCTATATAAATTTGTATTCTTGTAGTGATTGTATGTAATGACTTGAATTTTCTTACAGAAAAACCCGGGTGTAGCGAAAGATCTGGATCTGAGGAATATTTCTCCTGCAAGCAAAGCTCCGGTTTGTGATGTCTCCGGGCTACTTCGATTCATATCCTCCCGATCTGGACCTCTCCTGGCATATCGCCACCAAACCGTGGACTCAAATCAGTCTGCACTTCGTCGAACTCGATGTCAAGTCCTTGGAAGAAGGATGCGATGAGGACTACGTGATCATCATGGATATGTCATCTCAAAGTTCGCTTGGGCGATTCTGCGATCAGAAGAAACCCTCTGGATTAGTTGTGTCGTCATTGAACCGAATGGAGATCAGGTTCCATTCCGACGGCATAGGAAGTGGTGACGGTTTCTTAGCAGATTACTCGTCATCTATTCTTATTCCTGATGTGATCAACAGTACAAGCAGTAAGTTCTTCGGGGCGCGGGGGGGGGGGGGGGGTGTAGAGATTTTCCAGAGACCTACCTCAAACATGTATCAACAAAACTGATTCATTAATTAGTATTTCTATATGATCTATATCAAGAATGTTATGATTATTGGTAACATGACACAGAAAAGGCTATAAGAAGAGACTCACAATACATTTGCTAATGCACCCGATACCAATACAGTAACAGTAATGTATCGAAGGAGATTACCCAAAGTTGCTCAGTAATATCAGAGCAGATTATGTAATCTGAAACCCAGGTGACAAGGTTGCTATGGTAATGTACTGGAACTATTGTCACCTAGGTTAGATTTATAGAACAGTAGTGAACTGTAGGATTGAGTAATTTTTGCGCCCTGATAGTACACTGGTCTGATGAGTTTTCTTTACTCCAGACTTTACCTATTTTTAATCGCATGGGCAATGAAAATATAAATGATATAAAATAAAACGCGTGCATGCTCCTCTGTGTAGGATGTTCATGTTGTTTAATGTTCACTTATTAATTTAGATTTTGTTGGCACTGACATAACTTTTTTTAAATATTTTTAGGGGGGTAGGGGCAATGCTTCATGCATGCATAAACAACGAGTTAAGCATGATCATAGCTTTAAAAGAACCTAGCGGTAAAGAGTACCAATTAATCACCAAAACAAAGGTTGTAGTGAAGTTAGGAGTTTCATTTGATTATAGGCCGATTGTATAACATTTTAAAAGAGCTATAGATTGATATTATCCCTATTTATAGACCCTCGATTAACAGAAAATCGTCTTGTGAGTAGACTATTACCTCTTACTTTAATGTTATCCAGATTACAGTTGCCACAGTAACGCACTGTTCCTCTTTATCACCTGAGTATTATAGTGTCTCTCCTTCTTTCCTCGTCCCCTTCTATTGTCTCAATCCCTCATCCCCATTCTCCTTTGATTTTCCCCTGCCCCCCCCCGCCCCCCATGCACCCCCATGCCATTTCCCTCTCTTCGCCGTAAACCCAATCATCTTCCCCCCATCCTCTCTAAACTCGTTCTTCCGCCGGTTTGCTTGCTCATCTCTCCCCTCCCCTTCTCCCCTTGCCTTACCGCTTCCCCTCTCTAGCTCTCTGTTTACCACTCTCTCCTTCTTTCTTTTCTCCCCTTTCATTCTCTCCTTCCTCATTCACCTCCAACTTTCCTCTTCTACCTTCTTTTTCACCGCCTTTAATTCGCTCTTATACATTAATCCCAGTTTATCCAATCCTTTCCCCTAGTTCATTCACTCCCTTTTCCCAAACCTTCATCAACTCATTCTCCGGTCGGCCTGCTTATTCCGCCACCCCCCCTCCTCAATCTTCCTTCCCTCCATCCCGCACGCGCTCTTTCTCCCTCTCTCTTTCCCTTCACTATCCTGCGCTAGCTCTTCTTATTTCCCCTCATTTCCTAAACGCTCCACGGAGTATACGCCCTTATTCCCTTACCCGGCCGGCCGCCCTCTTAAATCCAAAAGAATGCCCCCTTTCGCCTTCTTCCCACCTACGCTCCCTTTTTTCCGCGTCTCATTAATGTTGGTCCCTCTCTCGATCCCCCTTTCTCCCTGCTTCCCCTCTCCAGGCGCGGATCCAGGATTTCTTAGGGGTGGGGGCCCATTTTTTTTAATTTTTGCTCCCGGAAATTTGAAAATCGCGCCAGCCGAAAATGCGCTCAGTGGGGGGGGGGGGGGGGGGGGGGGGGGGGGGGGGTGAGCAAATTTTTTTTTGAGGGGGCCCTTTAAAATTTGCATCCCCCCCTCCCCCTTGAGCGCCAGGGGGGTGGGGGGGCGGGAATCTCCCCAAAAGGTAAAATATTTTTGAAGGGGGGGGGGACGGCCCCCCCCAGATCCGCCACTGCCCCTCTCTTACATCGCTCTCTCAGCTCCACGTTCCTCTCTGTTTCCTCTACTTTTTGTTCCCCTTTAACCTCCCCTTAGTGGGGTAGTGAGCACATTTTTTTGGGGGGGGCCCTCTAAATTTTGACCCCCCCCCCTTGAGCGCCAGGGGGGGGGGGGGCGGGGGGGTGCGGCATCTCCCCAAAAAGGTAAAATTAACGTGTTTTTACATTTTTATTTTCGAAGGGGGGGGGGAATGGCCCCCCCCCCACCCGGATCCGCCACTGCCCCTCTCTTACCTCGCTCTCTCAGCTCCACCGTTCCTCTCTGTTTCCTCTACTTTTTGTTCCCCCTTTAACCTCCCCTTAGTGGGGTAGTGAGCACATTTTTTTTTTTTGGGGGGGGCCTCTAAATTTTGACCCCCCCCCCCCTTGAGCGCCAGGGGGGGGGGGGGGCTGGGGGTGCGGCATCTCCCCAAAAAGGTAAAATTAACGTGTTTTTACATTTTTATTTTCGAAGGGGGCGGGAGGGAATGCCCCCCCCCCCCCCACCCAGATCCACCACTGCCCCTCTCTTACCTCGCTCTCTCAGCTCCACCGTTCCTCTCTGTTTCCTCTACTTTCCCCCTTTGTCCTCCCCTTAATGGGTAGATACACTTTTTTTTGGGGGGGGGCCCTCTAAATCCCCCCCCCCCCCTTGAGCGCCAGGGGGGGGGGGTGGGACATCTCCCCAAAAAGGTTAAATTGACGTGTTTTTACACGTTTTATTTTTGAAGGGACGGCCCCCCCCCCCTCCCCGGATCCGCCACTGCCCCTCTCTAACCTCGCTCTCTCAGCTCCACCATTCCTCTCTGTTTCCTCTACTTTCTGTTCTCCCTTTAACCCCCCCCCCCCCCCCCATTAATTCCTCTTTTCCCCCCTGCTTTCACAGAGTCTCCTCATTGTATATTATATCAACTCCCATTTCTTGGCCTTCCTCCTCTTTCAGCCTAACATCATATATCGGGCATAATATATCATTATTATTGTCCCACTCATTTCTAGCCCTTCCTCCATTTTCTTCCCCATTTCATCCTCTTTTTTCTCACTCAATCCATCTCCTCCCTTCTTCCCTATTCTACTCTATATACCTCTCTCTTCTACCTCCTGCTCCCGCCCTCCTTTACCCCTCCAATTCTGTTTTCCACACTCAGTCTCCTTCTCACCTCATCCCCTTCTATTCTCTCGATCCTCCTTCCCCACCCTCTCTAAACTCATTCTATCGCCTCATTTGCCGTCTTGCTCATCGTGTTGATATAGGTGATATATTACTATATTATCCTTGTCTCCTTATGTAGAAAACAAAACCTGTTACAATACAAAATATGGGGCACTTATCCCTCTTCACCAACCCCTCCCCGAATCAAAGAATATGTACAACTCATGGTTGGGAGGAACAAAAATTTAAATTTCCTCATAAAAGGAATCAATGTTACTGATCATGCTGAGCTTATAATGCAGTCGCTTGTCTTCACACATTCTTTATATATGAAACAGCCCCGGCAACTGAGTGGCCGGTGGCCGCCTATCACACTGCCCAAATCGCGTTCCAGAGAAGAACAAAGTCCACACAAAGAAATAAAATTCTCGACAAATGTTGAAGTGGATAGTAACTTTATTACAATTTATTACATTTAATCATGAAAAGTCACATCTATGGGTGGAAGCCCCCAACTCTGCTAAAACTTTAGCACCTCATGGCGGCAAAGGAAATGAGGTATGAAACAAAATGAGGAAGTCATCCGAAAAGTAAAAGCTCGTGCCAATTCAGGAACTGCTTCCCATTTTATACCTTCTGACACGTGTGTTGCCCCTTAAAAGGGCGTGTCACTACGAGGCAT